TATAATTATTCTGTTGTTCTCTTTTGATGACGATGACAAAACAACAACAACAACGGCTTTTGCGGAACTTGACATTCAAGTTTAACTGCAGAAAACAGGGATTTACTAATAAACTTACTGTAACTAGGGCATTCTCAAAATGAATGGCGGCTAATCCCTCAAAGATTAGTACCCATAAGTGCTGAATACTCGCAGACTATACACAAGTTTCTTAAACCATAATAAAGCATTTTCAAAGTGCCCTGTTAATGGCTAAGGGCAGTTTTCAAGAGCTGGACAATTAATTTATATGATGTTGGTCAAGGTAAGAAATTCGTCATGTCAAACAACCCATAAACATTCAGCATTAGGGGATTCTTGGTATTTTCTTAGCTTGTTTTTAAAGCAGCTGCGGCACGCTCAGGAAACAGCTTTCGGCTCAAGTTCGTCGGCATATTGATCACTAATAAGTAAACGAAACAGCCACGCGGTGATTAATTGTGCTAATCGCTCATAAATATGCTCGAACGCCACACACCTAACCGAAAATAAGCTGTAAGCGTCGTTCTGAAACCCGTGATTGAACCGTTAGTTGACACCTGAACAACGAAAACTTAATAAAACTAGTTAATGACGTGGGACTTATAACGGAAGTTAATAAAGCCCACAAATGCAAAGTTTCTGAACACTTTAAACGCAGTTTTCATATGCGCATGGTGACATATGGCAAAGAATGTCAAGTTAGGTTGAAATATAGCAATTATGGCTATTTTTATTCTTTGTCGACTTGATAGAGCGAGAAATCCAACCGCTGCAGAATATCACCGGTTTTGCTCTGAATATTGTTATGAGATATGGGTCGAAATATCATATATGTGGTCTAATATTGAATAGACCGATTGTTTAAATAAACCATGCCGATGCTGCTTCTAGCTTGATCATTCAAACAGTACACAAACGCGATTGTACCTTGTATGATGGGAATAACTCGACAGTGACTCCTGTACCGCGGTGAATACTTGCGCAAACTTTTCACATATCATGCCTTATTTCAGTGTTCAATTTTAATTCATGCCTTGAATTAGTTATCATGATAAATGATCAGCTGTTGGACGAGTTCAAAAGCACTGCCACTGAAAACAGCTTAAAGAGTAACTGAACAATACGATCGCAGATTTCATAAATTTTTCATAATGGAGTGAGAGTAACGTTTCGTTACTTTTTTCCGTCATACGTTCGAAGCTTTTCTTTCTTACGAAAACCGCCCAATAAGGTCTTCGAGGACAAAAAGAAGGTGGGAACAGTTGAGCGAAGAATAAAACCACGAACTGAACGTGGTTTTGTTTAATTTTGACTGAGGCGTCATTTCTAACTGTAAGACTTCATAGATGTAGACAACTTTACTGTTCAAATACCGCTAAAAGAAGAAAACAACTACCCATCGTCTAAGCTATTTGCAGTCATCAACTTGGTTGCACAGGAATATAATGGAATGAGTTTTCGCTCTATGTATCAAAATATTAGATCATATATAATAATATAAATAAAGTTTGGGTAAATCTTTTGCTCGCTAGAGCTGCGTCACAATCATCATGATGTTTCAGGAGCTTGCACTCCTCATACGCTACTGCATAAATATCAAAGTATACCTGCACGTTGGAGTACGTCTGATAACGGATATCTCTTCTAAGGCCAGATTCCACGGCGCATTGCACTGCCTCTTTTCCTAGTGCGGGATGCATC